CAAAAGGAGGAAATTAGAAGAGATTTTTGCTTCTCTCCTGGTGGGAGAGGTACTCAGGAATTCTGCGTTTCCGGGGGCACCAGCTGCTGGCTGGCGCGAAGTTCAGAGGCTCTCACGTTGGGCACCAGATATGGGCGTGCGGGGATCTCGGGGAGCCAGCTGCTGGGCGGGGTGCCAGCTGCTGGGTGTGGCGCCGGTCTCCCACACGTCGCTGGAGTGCAGCAGGTCCCGCGGGCCGCGTCTGCTGTTCCGGCCCCTGGCTCTCCGCCGCTGGGGTGCGCGGGTTTCGTGCACTGCGTTGCCGTGGGTCTCTGCTACCGGAGCTGGCGGCTCTAGGACCGCTGTCAGCTGCCCGGTCGGGTTCCGTTTCAATTTCCATCATGCACTCTCTCTCTAAGTTCGAGACCTGTTGGCCACCAGGTCACGAGGGGAGGTGCGAGAAATGGCGAAAGCGGGGTCTTCGTGAGTCGATGAAGGAAGGATAGCCCCCCACCGGGGAGACTGGATCACAGGATTTAGTGTTACAGCTTCAGACAAGTGACTCAGCTCAGATCTCAGTGATTCAGCTCCAGCTCCAGCTTTATTGGGATAAAACTAGGACTATTTATAGTGTGGAGACAGTAGAAGAAGCCTTAGCTGATAGGTACTCCTGGAATGCTTCATTTACATAGGGCGGTGGGCTTCTATCAGGCTATCAGACAACACCTGATTAAAACCTGGTAGCTCCTGTGCTGGAGGGTATGTATCTTGTGACGGGCATTTCAAAAGTAAGTCAGGGAGGAGAGCAGAAGGCGCCCCACTGAGAAGGGGAGTCTCCCCATTCGCGCCAAGCCAGCTTGTGGCTATCCGGACATGGGGAGACTGCTACCCTAAACAGCAGGGGTCCCCAACAGTACTTGAACAATTTGCTATTTATTTTTCAGTTAGAGCTTTACCTCCTGCCATGTACCAAAATGAGTCACAGATTAAAGACTTAAATATAAAAAGATGATTACTAAAATCAGAAAATACATGAATCTCTGTTATCAAGGTAGAAAGGGACTTCAAATAAATCAGCATAGAAAGAGGAAAAGATTGATTGATTTGACACATAAATTTAAAACATTAAAAACTCACATTTAGCTGGGTGCAGTGGCGTACGCCTTTAATCCCAGCACTTGGGAGGCTGAGGCCAATGGATCTCTGTGAATTCAAGACCAGCCTGGCCTACATAGTGAGTTCCAGGCCAGCTGGGGCTACAGGGAGACCTGTCTCAAAGACCAAAAAAAAAACCACTAAACACTGTTACATTTAAATTTGTATGTTTAAAAAATAAAATAGGGAAAGTATTTAATATATTCAATAAATAAGAAAAAATATCACCTATTAATGACTTGCAGTCAAATAAAGTGTAAAATATGACAAGGAAAGGACATGAGTCAACAGTTTTAAAGAAATGCAAATGGCCAATAATCACCACAGGGCATGTACAACGTTTATCATTAGGGCTGGAGCTACAGCCCAATTAGAGTGCTTGCCTAGCATATAAGAAGCCCCGGGTTTGATCCCTAACACCATACTAGGCATGGTTATCCAAACCTGTAACCCTAATACTTGGGAGGTAGAGTAGGAGGATCATGAGTTCAAGGTCATCTTCAGTTATATAGCAAAAGTCAAAACCAGCCCAGGATGCATCAGATCCTGTCTCAAAGAAAAAAAATCCTAGTGTTCACAAATACAAATTAGTGGATATTAAGACAGTGTTTTATACTTAACAAAATTGGCAGTGGGTTTGGGAAAATTGGTAATACCCAGAGTGTACAGATGGGAAAACTGGCCTTGTCATAATATCTTTGCTAGTTCTATAGATTGATGCAGTCTGGGGATGATTTTGATGATGTGAATCTAAAACTGTAAAAATAAGTATCTTATAACCAAGCATGTCAAATTTTAGTATTCATATGTACAAAAGTTTATGTATTTGCATGTTCAGCTTTGAATGTTTATAGTAGCAAAAATTGGAAGCTACCTAAATCTGTAAACATAAACCTTTTTAATTGTGATGTGTGAGAAACAAGAATAATATAGAATGAAGTACCAAAGTGTGTTAATGAAAAGGTGATTGTAAGATGACATAGATAGCATGGTGTCTGTTTTTGTTTGTGTGGTGTTTTTGAGGTAGGGTCTCACTGTGCTGTCCAGGCTGACCTCTCAAGTTGCCTGAGCTACAGGGTGTCTGCCACCACACCTAGAGATCTCTGTTCTAATGAGAAAATAGCCCAGACATGCAGGACACATATGTATATACAAGTTGAACAACCTAAAACAGAATATCCGCTTGCTATTCCTGGATGAAGGAATTGAGGCTTGATGTTTAGCCTGCTTTCCAAGTTCTACAAGGACTGTGTATTGCCTTTGTAGAAATTAAGTCCCATTATTTGTCGTTTGGCTTTTGCGGTAAGGAACTTATTTTTCTTCTGTTCTTTATCCCTGTAGGATACTGATGTTATTGTTTGGGATGTGATCAATGAAAGTGGCCTCTACCGTTTAAAGGGGCACAAGGATGCTGTCACACAAGCACTGTTCCTACGAGAAAAGAATCTTCTAGTTACAAGGTAAAGACATAATGGTTGTTTCAGAGTTCTGGCGAAGGCTCGGCTGCATTCCTGTCGCTCATGCTGTGCCTGTGCCTTGAGCTACTGAGCATCCTCTGTTGTTTCCAGCTTGCTGCTTCGCTTTCTGCCTCTCCCACATGCAGTTGGATACAGAGTTTTAAAATCCCCTTCTGATGCCAGCCTGGGAATGTTTCTCAGCCTTTGATAGGCCTTCTGTGGAATGAGTGTTGTCTGTCTATCCTAGGAGGTCAGGAGAGTAGAGTGTGGAATGCTGGGCAGAGGTGAATGCTGGGTTTGGTTTAGCCTGCCTTTGGAGGACATGACTTCATAGGGCTTTTGAACATGAACATCTTTTCAGTTGAGCCATTTGAAATTTTTATTTTTGTTAAGTAAAAAGATGATCAGATATTACCAGTTTTATATAGTTCAACCTAATATAATTACTGTCCCTAAGGAGTGGCCACTCTGGAAAGGCCAAGATCCTAAGGTTTGCCAGGCAATAATTAGACGAACCATTGTAGTGACGCAGGAAAAGTTGTGAAGGGCACTAAGTGCTGCCCAGTACAGATTGGTTCCTATGGGATAGCATATTGGTAAGAAAGGGTTGTACTAGGGGAATAAGAATCAACCAATAGCAGCTTTTCAGAATGATGTATTAGTTTGATTTTGATTCTTTGGTGAACATTGAGTTGGTAAATTTTAAAAATAGGAATTGCCCCTGTGATGGATGAGACGAAAAACCAGCAATGGGGAAAGAGGGCAGATGAGAAGCTGTAGAAATAGTGCAGCTGGTAGGACTTAAGTTCAAGTTTGTGGAGGCTGAAGAGATGGCTCAGTTGTTAAGAGCGCTGACTGGTCTTGCAGAGGACATAGGTTCGGTTCCCAACACCCACATGGTGGCTAATGACCATCTCTAACTCCAGTTCCAGGAGATCTAGTGTCTGCTTCTGGCCTCCACAGGCATTGCATACATGTGGTGCACTAACATATTTACAGGCAAAACCCTAATACACATAAAAATAAATAATTTTTTTTAAAATTCAGGTTTGTACAGAAGTAGATTGTAAGGAATCAAGGTTTGGAGACCTCCAAGAGGCTGTGTTTTCAGAACACACTGTAACACGGGAGTTGGGGGCCTGGGAATGTGTAAGATGCTTCCATGTCAGACAGTCTTCCAGAATGGCAGTGCTGGATTGATGGAGTGGGAGAAGTGAAGCACCTTTCTCTCTACCTAAGAGTAACCACACAGCGAGTTAGAATTCCCTGTCAGAAGAAAGGTCAGGTAGAGTAGCTTTAGACATTGCTGCTGTACATTATTTAGTTTAATGATTCTTCCTACTAAGATTGTTTCCCTTCTTTTTCTTTTAGTGGGAAGGATACTATGGTAAAATGGTGGGATCTTGATAACCAGCACTGCTTCAAAACAATGGTTGGCCACCGAACTGAGGTACTGAGATTGGCTCGGGGGAAGCAGTGCCAGTCATTAAGGCAGATGTAGCTGCTCTGGCATCTACAAACTACCTTGGGTAGTTTATAACCTTTGAGTTAAGTGCCCACCTATGATTGTAGACATGTCAAATGATATGTGTACAGTGGCTGTCCCAGTGGCATATAAACAGCAAAAGTATAGTTTTATGGTTACCTAAACATAGATTTCTTTAGACAAGTTTAGAGAATATCTTAAATATATTTGTCTCCTGTATGTTTTGTTTATATCAAGCCTTCAAAAACAGCTGTAAGCAGGGCTTGTTGGCACATACCTTTAATCTCAGGCAGAGGTAGGCAGATCTCTGAGATTGAGGCCAGCCTGGTCTCCATAGTGAGTCCAGGCCGGCTGGGGCTACAGGGAGACTGTCTCAAAAAGACAAAAGAAAACCCCACCACCAACAACAACAAAAATTACTTATAATAATGAAATGGAAAAGAGGGTTCTATGGCTATTGATTTTCAGCAGTATTTTGTTCCCCTGTTTGATTCTTCAATATTATTAGCAGAGACTTATGCAGCAGACATCATGAAGAATTGCCTTAATTCCTAGACTTTGAAATGTCAAAGAGACTTTATTATTCTGTGCTTTTGGAATGTCCCATTGTGCAACTTGGAATACTAAAAGCGATAATATGTAAATCTGTGTTCTGTAGGTGTGGGGCTTGGTTCTGGTATCAGAAGAAAAGCGACTAATCACTGGGGCTGCAGACAGTGAACTGAGGGCGTGGGACCTAACCTATCTACAAGAGGTAATGGCTTTGTTCAGGTTATGGGCAGTAGCATGTTTTCACAGTCCCAGAGGCTCACTGAATTTAGGCTCAGATATAATGCATTTTACTGTGTTTATAACCTGCAGCTTCTAAACAAAGACTTCTTCATTGTCTGCTCTTTGCCCTGGTTTGTTTGAACTGAGAAAGCTAGATTCAGGCTTAGCTTCTGTTTGGTTTGTGGCATTCTTCGGCTTGTTTTACTGACCTTCAGGTGTCCATGGAGCCTTTCTCTTCAAACAAAAATCCATGTAGAATGTGTGTTATTATAAATAGATATATTCTCAGGAGACTTTTCATGATTCTCAATTTATATGTGTGTTTGGGGGGTGTAAAGATTGCAGACTTAGGTTCAGCTGAGTTAGGTATATGGGTTTATATCTGTTAGCCATTTTTGTGAGTTCTGTGTATCATACAGTAGGTTTTTGTTATTTCCTGTAGTGAAGGAGGAAATGTAACCTATTTTACAGTACTTTTGTCATTCCTGATGCCAGTGGGAAACTTGCCATCTAGAATATGACAGAACTTTTACCTAAAACCAGAAAAAAATTGACATTGAGGAATTGTGGTCCAGGGGGCTGGAAAGATTGTCCAGCACTTGTCCTTGCAGAGGACTTGTTGAGTTCCTAGCACCCACGTTGCCATTTTGAAACTGCCTGTAACTCAAGCTCCAGGGAATCCAACACTCTTCTGGCCTCTGCACACATACATATACACATACATACACACATACATACACACACACATACAAATAAATAAATAAATAAATAAATAAATAAATAAACTTTAAAAATAGGTCTTGAAAAGTTACTGGGCCATTAGTTTTTGCACTGTTGTCTACTTAAATGTTGTCCTTATACTGTAGAAGGTTATTGAAAATAGTAGAATGAGCAGTATTTTGTTGTATATGATACCAGTTTTCTTTTTTTTAAATTTATGTTTATGCATGTATTGGCTGCGTGTAGGTAAGTGCACCCATGTCGTGCAATGCCTGTGGAAGACAGAAGAGGCTGTTGGATCCCCTGGAATTGGAATTATGGACAGTTGTTAGCTGCCATGTGGGTGCTGCGATTCAAATCCAGGTCTTCTACAAGAACAACCAGTGTTCTTAACTGCTGTTCTTCTGTCTTGACAGAAGTTATCAGAGATCACCAACCAAGCTCTGAGTGGTCATAGGAAAGGTTTCCAAGTCGTTGGGCTTAAAAGTCCCCTGGAACATTATATCAACTTTTATTCTCCCATCTTCATAAAACAGATTGATGACCTAGAAGAACCAGACCCCAAGAAAATCAAAGTATCTCCTGGAATACAGGACACACCTGAAGCAGAGGATGGCAGCCTTGAGGTGGATGAAACACCAGAGGATGTAATTCATTTTTGTTCCTTTTCTTGAGTGGTAGGAAAAAAATGAGAACTGCAGGTTTGCAGATAGGTATTCGTCATCATTTTAGGGAATTGCTTTTGTCTCCTTGTTTATTAAAATCGTATCTCTTCAGAGGTTCAGCAGATACAATGTCCAACCTCCATGTTCTCTTGCTTCCTCTGTAGCGCATCCTTTCATGCAGAAAAGCTGGTTCCATAATGCGGGAAGGAAGGGACAGAGTTGTGAACCTTGCCATGGACAAGACGGGCAGGATTCTTGCTTGCCACGTGAGTGCCGAGAATAGCAACACAAGACTGTTCCTTTCAGGTTCTCATCTCATACTCACTGTGGAGATGAGCATGTTAATAACAGTGTATATTCCTGTGTGGACCCATGGTCCCTAGCTTGTATTAGCATAACATCAGTGAAAGTAATTGTATTTATTATCAACATGTACTAGATGCTAGCTTTTGTCAACAGTGTAAAAGGTTGCATGCTTTCAGAAATGCTGTGAGCAGAAAGCCGTAGCCCACTTAATAGATGAGAAGACAAACTCAGAGAGGAAGTTGTTCGTGGAAATCAGGGATTAAGTTGTTAGGGAGGAAAAACATGCTGCTGTTTGCTTCTAATTGGGAGCTGCAAGCTGCCTGTCCTGGACTTACATTGTCAGCCTTACATTGTCAGTCTTTTCCCTTCTAGGGACCTGATTCTGTGTTAGAAATATTTTGTATCCTTTCCAAAGAGGAAGTTCAGAAGAAAATGGATAAGAAGCTGAAGAAAGCTAGAAAGAAAGCAAAGTATGTCTTTTTGGTGTGTTTGCAAAGTATGTTTTTTAAAAGAAATAGTTATTGGTAATGAAATGTGTTTGGTAGCCATATGTTACTGCAAAAAACTGCCTTCTTTAAAGGAAAGGTTTACTAGATTACTAATTACTGTTAAAAATTAGAGAATTTGTGGGGTACCAGTACTGTAAGTTTTGAATTTCTGATAGTACATTTTTATTCCTAACATATTTTTGAGTCTTGGATTAAGATCCACACATATCTTTTTTGACATTCTTTCTTCTTTAGACTATGTAGGCATGGCTGGCCTGGAACTTCCTTTGCACACCAGGCTGATTTCAAACTTACAGAGATCTGCTTGCCTCTGCCTCCTGAGTGCTGGAATTGGTGGCATGTGCCTATAATCCCAGTGCTGGGGAGCTAGAGACAGGAGGATCTCTGGGCCTTCTTGGCCAACCAGTCAAGCTGAATCTACAAGCTCCAGGTTCAGTAAGAGACAGTATTTCCAAAACATAAAGTAACAAATGATTGAGGAAGACATCTAACAGCCTCTGGCCACCACATGCACACATATACACATGCTTATACATATTGAGAGATTCATTAATGGTTGAAATCTATCAAATTTCAAACTGATAAAAAGTCATCTGACAGCAAATCTTTTGAGATTTGTTCTGGCTCATATGACATATTTAGATTAAATATAGTTTAAAGAATTTTTAGAAAGTCCTAAAGTTAGAAAAGTTCATCAGAAACATTTCAGTGGAACAATTTGAATGTCAAGGATTTAATTCAGGAAATTTTATGGGCTGTTACATGGAGAATCCATATATTAAAGGTATCCCTTTAAGTGGAGTGTAGTCTACTCAGGTAGTTCTCAGGGTAATACTGGTGGTTAAGTCACTGCCTGTCCTGGCTTATTTTTAGTTGTTGACTTGACACAATCTAGAGTCATCTGCAAAGAGAAAACCTTAGTTGACATTTGCCCAGATCAGATTGGCCTGTGACCATGTGTGTGAGAGATTGTTTTGACTAGATTGATGGGGGAGGGCCCAGCCTACTGTGGGTGGTGCCATCCCTGAACAGGTGGTCCTAGACTGTATAAGAAAGCTACCTGGGTGTGAGCCTGGAAGCAAGCCAGCAAGCAGTGTTCTTCATGGTTTCTGCTTCACTTCCTGCCCTGCCATCCCCCAGTGATAGAGTGTGACCTGGAAATATAGGCAAAATAAACCCTTTCCTCCCCAGGTCTCTTTGGCCAGTGTTTTACCACCACAACAGAAGGCAAACTAGGACACTGGCCCTTAACCCCTCAGAAAAGTGATGTCTTGATGCTCTTGGGTTTTTCCCTTTCTAGATTAAATTCTTCCAAAGAGGAGGAAGACCTTGAAGTTAGTGTTGCAATGTCTCTACAAGATGAAATCCAACGGGTGGCTAATATCAAAACTTCTGCCAAGATCAAGTGAGTCAAAATACAGTATCAACTGCTACAAAGTAATAAGCTACCAAGTATTAATGACTTTATCATGGTTGTTTGCAGGCCATGCTCATATAAACCCTCTTATCCTGTGTTTTGATTAGTATAATTACCTTTTAGCTGTCCCTTAACTGTCCTTTCCTGCTGCTGAGAAAAATACATATTCCTTATTCAGAAAGTGTTTTAAATCATTCATTTAAAAAAAAAAAGACACAACACAAAACAAAATATGTATTAGAACTAAGGCCTGAGCCCTGGTTTTTTGGCTTTAAAGGCCTTCACTCATGTGACTGTGAGATGCTCTATGGGTAAAGGCACTTGCTGCCAAGCCTAACAACCCGAGTTTGATCCCTGGGACCCATATGATGGAAAGAGAAAACCCATTCCCTCAAGTTGTCCCCTGATCTCCATGTGTGTGCTGTGGCACACATTCACACATATAAATGCAATGATTTTTTTTTTTTTAAGCCTGTGCTGTACTCTAGTACCCAGAGCAATATTATTTCTAAAATTCTGTATACTTGTTTAAATGTTGTGGACTGAGGACATCACAAAGATTTTTCTTATAGAAAGCTGACTTTGTGAGCTAAGACAGTAGCCTGAGTATTCTGATTGTTTTCCATGCAGATCCTTTGACCTGATTTATTCACCCCATGGAGAGTTAAAGGTGGTCTTTCTGCTGCAGAACAACCTGGTGGAATTATATTCACTCAATGCATCCTTGCACACCCCTCAGCCTGTGAGGATTAGCAGGATCACCCTTGGAGGCCATCGCAGTGATGTGCGGACTTTGTCCTTCAGCTCAGATAATATTGCTGTGCTCTCAGCAGCAGCGGATTCCATAAAGATATGGAACAGGTTCGTGAAGTGCTACTTCCCGTAGAGTTGCCTTCTGTTTGAAATATTTTTTGGTACTCTTGAAGTTTGGCTGTTATCCTCCAGAGCCTAAATACAATTCTGTTAAAAGGCACACTCAGTGTGTTTTGGCTATTGGCCTATGGAATTCATATCAGGAAGAGTTGCCCTTTAAATTTTGGTGTAGGCCTGGCCAGCTGGTTCAGCAGATAAAGTTGCTTGCCACCAAACCTGAAGACACAAGTTTCATCCCTGGAACCTACCTGGTGGGAGAGAACTGATTTCCTGCAAGTTGTCTTCTGCCCTCCACATTCATGCTGAGACATGCATGTGCTCCGTGGTGCACGCACAGACAGACACACACACACAAAGATGGAAAAATTCAAAAATAAAATTTGGCATAAAATAAACCAAGCTTTTCCTCCCGTGGAGCTTGTAGCTGTATTTAACTAGAGGGAAACATATAATCACATTGTCCCCTTCTCAGTAAGGTAGCCTCTTAGTGCTGTCCAGAAATTCTACCATAATTTCTTGTCATGCTTTCCTTTTCCTTGACTGTTTTACACCTCCTCAGACCCCAGATACTTCAAATATTTTTAAGCTGATAACCTTGCTTCCTAGTTCACTAAGGAACTGGATCTATCTAAAAGAACATTTCCTGTGCTCTCACTGTTGCTGCTATCTATTGATGACTATATCCATGTGTGGTCAACAGCAAGTATACAGGGCTGCTGCCAGTGTTACACACTATTTTACAGAAATTTTTTTTTTTTTTTTATATCTTTAAAAACCAGTAACACTTATTGTTACATTCAGTACATGATTAACATGTGCTGTACTTCGAACACATCACAGTACATTCACATACAGCAGTGTCACCACAAATGTATGTACAAGGCATTGCACTGTAATATGACAGCAGTTCCGTGTCACTGGACCTCAGGACATTTCCAGCTCTTACTGTCTTAACAGTTCAGAGGCATAGATCTGTGGAATGGTAATATACCCCAGTTCAACTCGAGATCCTCTCATCTTGCATCTTGGAGATCGGCCTTCTGGAGCCCAATAGAGGCTTTGTTTTCACTCTGCTTTTGTGTGATGTTGTCCTCAGGGTCTCTTTTCTCTCAAAGAAACCAAATGTGATTTTTAGTATTTTCTTTTACCAAGAATTGAGTCTGAGCCAAGAGTTAGACTTTTGTCTTGTCATGTTGATTTGTGGCTAAGTGCCTTGAAATGCTCATACTGACTTTGAAGATGGGAAAGCAAGTTCCTTTAGGATGAGCTCTTTCTTGCTTCTTCTGTAGGTCTACCCTGCAGTGTATTCGCACGATGACCTGTGAATATGCACTCTGTTCCTTCTTCGTTCCTGGTGATAGGCAGGTGGTCATAGGAACAAAGGTAAGCCTGAGGGTTTTTCTTGGGATTTTGAGGGCTTTTTTACTTAGTATCTTAAAAGATGTTTGGGAATTTGGGCTCCTCTAAGCATAATGGTAATTAATATATTAGAGGTAGATAGTATGGAACGGTATTAGCTAATTGCCCCTTTTCTGGTGTTTTTAAAAGTTTTATTTTCTTGTTAAAAAAAAAAAATGAAGCCATATGTCAAATGAAAAAGGACTTTGAAATCATAACACTGAAGTAAATGCCATTAGCATTTTGATAATTATCCTTCCACACATCTTATGAGCACATGTGCACTGTAAATATGTTTAACTATGATATGTTAATATTAAATAATAAAATATGCTATCTGGTACCTGGTTTGACAGAGCATTCTAATAAAGCCAAGGTTACCAGGTCTTTGTTCTTAGATGCTCGTCAATTTGGGGCAATCATAAGTACACACACGATTTGGATTCAGAGTCTCTATAAAATAGATAATTTGAAGCAAGTTTCATAACTTCTTAGAGCGTCCTTTCACGTGCCTAGCAGGATGACAACACTTGCAGCCCCGTCTAAATACTGGCTCTGCCATTTAATAGCTCTGCTGTCTTTAGGCAGTTGCGTTAACCATTAGCTTGGTTTGTCTTGGAAGTATGCAGTGCACTGAGCAAGGCTGGCCGCGTGGCTGCGGCACAGCAAGGTGGTAAGCGTGGAATGGAGTAGGGTTTATGGGGCGTATGTTTCTTTTGAGACAGTTTTGCTGTGCAGCCCAGGCTGTCTCTAACTCATTCTGTTTCAGCCTCATACGTGCTGTGACTCTAGGCATGTGTCACCGCATCCAGTTTGTGGGGTGTTCTAAGAAGTACTTTGCAGTGCATGCCATCCCTGTAAATCTGTTCCAAATGTGAATGAGTTTTATTAGAAAATCTGAGTGTCACAATGGCTATTTCTTGCCTGGTAAAAAGTATAAAATGTTGGAAAGATTTTAGGGTCCGGGTTAGGGAAATAGAAACATTTTTTAAAGATTTTTGGAAAATTTTTTTTTTTTTTTTAATGTGTTTGAGTATATTGCCTGCATGTAAAGAAGTACACCCATGTCATGTAGTGTCCATGGAGGTCAGAAGAGGGAATCAGATCCCTGAAACTGGAGTTACAGATGGTTGTTAGCCACCATGTGGCTGCTGGGAATCCATCCTAGGTCCTCTGCAAGAGCAACCAGTGTTCTTTGCCACTGAGCCATCTCTCCAGTCCTAAGATTTATTTCTAATTATTTTAAATTATGGCTATGTAGGTGTGTCTTGAATGTGGGTATGTGCATGTGCATGCAGGTGCCCACAGAGGCCAGAGGTATCAGCTCCCCCTAGAGCTGGAGTTACAGGCACTTATGAGTTACCTAACATGGGTGCTTGGAACTGAACTCAGGTCCACTGCATGAACACTATGTGCTCTTAACTGGTAAGCCATCTCTCCGGCCCTATAGTAGCAAAATTTCAATTGAAAGGTTCTCATTTGTCATTCATATTTCAAGAAATGTCTGTGTGCTGTTTGTTGTTGGAAAAGCATTTTGTGAATTGCTTTGAGGACTGTGTAACAGGCTTGCAGTTCCTGACGCAGACTGTATTATGCAGTTAATGTATGACTCTTTGAATCCTTACCACATCTTAGAGATGCCAGAACTGTAAACTCCATTTTGCAGATTTAAAAAGCAGACTCCTGGAGATGAATTCTGTAGTGGTCATAGCGTGGGAAAGGCAGAGCTGGGGCTCGGTTCTCCTAGCTTATGTGCCTGCCACATTGCGTAGAAGCTCATCGTGTTACTAGGCTTTTGCCTGTTAAAAAGCTGTCATGGCATATACAGGCCTCTCCTGGAAATCATGATGGATCTCTAGTTCTTTCAATGTATTATGGAAGGAGGAAACCAAGAGTTGGAGAATTGGTCAAGCAGTACTATAGACTCAGGTGGTCTGCTTAAAGCATCCGCTAAAATTCAAAGGCTGTTTACAGTCTCCACTGGAATTCTTGTCTGTGGCCATGATAGTTCCCTTCTGAAGCTGTGGAACGAATGAAAAGGGCAGAGTCCAATAATGCAAGATTGTGCTCTCCATGGTTATTTATCATGGCAGCCCAGCTCCGGGTAACTGAGCATGTCAGAGGGAGCAGAATGTCTTCAGGTAAGGACTATAGACAATATTTAGATAGGATCCATTTCTTCAAGCAACTGACAACATTGTTGCTTTTCTAAACTCTGTAGGCATGATTCATGGAGTTTGCTCTTTAGAACTGTGTTCATTTTGTGTCTTCCTAGACAGGAAAACTACAACTTTATGACTTGGCCTCAGGAAATTTGCTGGAGACGATAGATGCCCATGATGGAGCTTTGTGGTCCATGTCTCTTTCTCCAGATCAGGTAACTGAACCAGGTTTTAAAACAACAGTACACTAGACATTAGTGCTGTGTTTGCATTTCCCAGGTCTGCTGAGTTGAGGGGCCTGGGAAAGGTTTCATTGAGGAAGGCTCTTCTCTGTCTGGTCTTTAGACTTCACATATGCTGTCATTTCAATTATAGCGTGTAACATGCATAGCTGCCATTATGAAATTAAGTCGGTCAGCTGTGCTGTCCTCAGCAGTGTGCTGCCAGGGTGAACTCATGACTTACTTTGTCAGTGGTCCTTGGTTCTTCTCAAAGGGAAACATTTTCTGGAGCAACACTGAGGGTGAAGTAGACTTTTCTGCTCCCCTTATAGTCCAGCCATCTGTTATTAAGGAAATTCTTCAGCAAATAATCACCTCTTGGGATGCACTGATAAGTGCTTCCGTTTGCTGGGGTCATTGGAGAGCTGTGTAGCTGTGCATTGATTCTAGAGCTGCTGCTCTCAGTATCCTGAGATGTTGTTATCAGTGCTTTGAAAGTCTTTGCCTGCTTATCCAATTACTCTCAACGGCAGCAAGCCTTATTCACGGAAAACAGTATGTATCTTTTTTGGAGAAACTAAATATAGAGTGGCTAATGCCATTTAGTAGTTTTTTTATTTTTTTTAATTTTATGTGTATGCATGTATTGCCTGCATGTAGGTAAGTGCACCTGTGCCTTGCAGTGCCCACGGAGGACAGAAGAGGCTATCGGATCCCCTGGGACTGGAGTTACGGACAGTTGTTAGCTGCCATGTGGGTGCTGGGATTCGAACCAGGGTCTTCTGCAAGAACAACCAGTGTTCTTAACTGCTGAGCCATCTTTCCCAGCCCCACCATTTAGTAGTTTTAAAGTGTGGGTTGGTGTGCTATGAGATGGCAGAAGTGATTCCAGTCATTTAGAAAACCATTCCCAAGGTGTTTGCAGTGACGTTGCAGGAATACATTCTGACATGAATACTCTAAACAAACTTAGATTACTCATTTAGTATGTAGTTATCAAACTAATCTTACTGCTTTATAGTGGATTCATTTGACTTCTGCTCTGTTAGGTAAAGTTAAAAAAAAAAACCCACAGTATCTCTTGAAAATTTTTCTTAATGACGCTAATGAAAGTACAACTAGGGCTTCTCTCTGGTTGTCCTCTCCCTGGGCCTTAGTCTATGCTGGGATTCTCAAATGAGGCCTGTGTAGCCCCAGACAAGCAGTCAAAGGGTAAGGAGAGGCATTTTTCTTAATTCTTGTCATATATGCTTAAGGAAAAAAGAGAGTTTTAGACTGTTTTGTATACACAGCAGTTTTTGTGTTAAAATAGTTTTTAACTGAAATATCATTTTATTTTCAGCGAGGCTTTGTGACAGGTGGTGCTGATAAATCTGTCAAGTTCTGGGATTTTGAATTGGTGAAAGATAAGAATAGTGCCCAGAAGAGGTGAGTGGACGTTTTATTGTGTCTGGGTCTTAGAGTGAAAGTGGAGAGCCATCTGTGGCCTTTGATGGGTGTCTGCACATCAGGAGTTTGGGATTGTGCTGGTGGAGTCCTTACGTATTTGTCTCTTTCTTGATGCTGTCTGTTGTACTAGACTTTCTGTGAAGCAGACCCGAACCTTACAACTAGATGAGGATGTCCTGTGTGTCAGTTACTCTCCCAATCAAAAGCTGTTGGCTGTGTCTTTGCTGGACTGCACTGTGAAAATTTTCTATGTCGACACTTTAAAGGTACAGTGATTTTGCCCAAGACTATTTTCTTTCTTGCTGTGTGACCTTAAGAATTTGGTCTGAGACTCTAAACAGGTGGTTGGACTGTAAGGTCACTGTCTAAAGTGACTTTGATAATACCCAGTGATATTTTATGTATAAAATTTGTGTGAGAATCAACACATTGTTGATTTTGTTCTGGTGTCAAGTAGTTCCATGATTTGTCAGTTATGTCTTAGATATTTTTTTGGTTTATGTGGGCAGAAAATCCTGTCATAGCTAGTAGCTCCTAAAGCATTGTTGGGTGTCTTAGGCAGTTTTTCACACCTCAGTATCCTTTGGTGGCTTTAAGAACAAACAGGTTACTGGGCCTTATACCCAGTATCAGTAGGACTAGACTGGGCCTAGGAATATTTGAGTCTCTTCAGCTGAGAGATCCAGAGCCCATCTCCGTAGTACTGGCTGAGGCGTAGGCTGTGGGCTGCTCTCCTTCACTCGCCGCAGGGTTGCTGGCCAGTACTTGAGGGTCTGCAGGGTGGACAAGGCAATCTTTACATGCTGCCTTCAGTGACTCATGGTCTTTGAAAATATATTTTTAAATAAAGTAATCCAGAAATGTGTTTAGTGTTATGAATTTATAGTTTGGCTCTACATGTTAACAAATTCCGTTTTATAGACAAACACGACTTATTTATCTTCTTTCTTTCATGTTTAGTTTTTTCTCTCACTGTATGGACACAAACTACCTGTTATATGTATGGACATCTCACATGTAAGTAAAATTTGCAAGCTGTCTTCTAGAGCAGACACCTTTCTCCATCACTGGCTTCATATTGCACTGTAGAGTGTTGCACGTGCTCCTGCTTTCAACAGTCACAGACCATAGTCACACCATAAATAAGTTGGACGTTGGTGTTTTCAGAATAATTTCACAAGTACCATCTCATCCTGACTACCTGTAGCAGCTCTGGCAGCTATTTGTTGCTCAAAATTCTGTAACTGGTAGAACATCCTAAAAACTAATGGCTGTGTGTGCGAACCTTTGTTCTGTAGAACAGCGTTGGTAAGGAGGAAGGAGCTTGCTTTGTATTTGGTTATGTGTGCTATTTTGCTTTGCTTTATTTTACGCTCAGTCTTGGGAATCACACTTCAGTGTCCGATGATGACTAAGAGTGAGAGTGCGTATTTGGAAAGTGTCTGCTTTGTATAAAGGGGAAAAGAACTGACCCTATAGCAGTGCGATCAGCGTGTTAGCGTGGCCATTTGTGCCTAGGCATCGGGACAGGAAGGCGCTGAGGGAATGGTAATAGGGAACATGGGATGTGAGGTGAGGTCAGACCTTCGATAGATTCTTTTCCAACCTGGCTTTCTACTCCCCACAAATCCCATTCTACAGCTTAGACCTTTTAGTTTAGCAAGGTAAACACCCTTCCATGAAGGCACAGGACTGTGCTGTGGCCAGAGACTGTGACACAAAGGAGTTGATGTTCTCACCAAGCTGTTTAAGAAGCACTCAAGGTAAAAGAGCACAGGTGTTCAGTAGAGGTGAAATTAACTTCTTTGGCTTTAATATTTTGAAAGAAATGAAGGTTCTGGTTATCTTTTAATTATCTAGTTGAGAGAAATCAAATATTTAAGAGTTTTGTTTCATTTTCTTTTGTTTCCTGTGCCACAGGATGGCGCACTGATAGCAACTGGCTCTGCTGATAGAAATGTGAAAATCTGGGGATTGGACTTTGGGGACTGCCACAAGTCTCTCTTTGCACATGATGACAGGTAGATATTGTCTTCTCAAAGGCCCTCCTCTGAGTTGCATCAAGTAACATTTTCCAAGACCATCTGTATGTATTATTTGAAATTCTCAGAATAAGTTAACATTTCAAACTAGTGAGTCAAAAGCTAGTATAACATTACTCTCCATACTAAACTGGAGTTGGTGACATTTGTCTACCTCTCCACTTTACAGTGTGATGTACCTACGGTTTGTTCCTAAGTCTCACCTCTTCTTTACTGCTGGGAAGGACCGTAAGATCAAGCAGTGGGATGCAGACAGATTTGAGCACATACAAACCCTTGAGGTAACTCTTGCCTGCATTTCTCATTAGTGCTTTAAGAACTACTTCTAAGAATACCTACCTTGCCCACCAGTGTAAGCAGGTAGTGGTCTATGAAGAAGTTATTCTTCCTTGGATTATTTTGGTTTTTTGTACATCCAGGGGCACCACCAGGAAGTATGGTGTTTGGCCATCAGCCCCAGCGGAGACTACATTGTATCATCATCCCATGACAAATCCCTCAGACTCTGGGAGAGAACGAGGGAGCCTCTTATTCTGGAGGAAGAAAGGGAGATGGTAAGAACTTGATGTTCGGGTCACATATGGTGAATAACTGGCAGGCTGTCCCTGCTGAGGTTTCCTGTCTGATGCAGTCATACCTCACCCAGGAGATATTCCTAAGATCAGTGCCTTCCATCTCAGAAGCTCAGCTGATGGGTTGTCAGGGCTAATGAGTGGAAAGCCCTTTTCATTGGCACGTTTTGCTTTGCAGAGGCCGTGTCTCCTTCACAAATACTGACTTCTGTCTCTCTCTCTCTTTTGGCAGCAAAGGGAAGCTGAGTATGAGGAGAGTGTGGCTAAAGAAGACCAACCTACAGTAAGTAAGCCTTTGGGGAGTTTGCTATCATTTCAAGAATTTTTGATGTAAGAGGAGTTGGAGTTAGATGCCAAAGACATTGCTGGCTAATATGAGAACCTATCATGTTTTATTCAACTGCATAACCCAATTTTGGGACAAGTTTGGTCTTGAATAATTGTCATTATGGGTTTTTGTTTTGTTTTTTGTGTTTTTTGAGGCAGTGTCTCCCTGTAGCTCCAGCTGACCTGGAACTTGTTATTAAATGAACTGGTCTTGATCTCACAGAAATCCACCTGCTTCCACCTCCCAAGTGCTGGGATTAAACATGTGTGCCACCGTGCCTGGTGATTTTTTATTTATAAATGAAGCTTTAAAGAATTGCTAAGTTCACTGCAGTACGAAAATTTAGATCAGAAAAAAAATAATTGAATACTTTAAACATTTGCAAGATAATGCTGTGGTAATACATTCAACGTAGGTGGTAACTGTTACTTTATAAAATAATACCTATATTATTCAAGGATCTCTTTCTTTCTGGCAGGTTCCAGGGGAGACTCAAGGTGACAGTTACTTCACTGGAAAGAAAACCATTGAAACAGTCAAAGCAGTAAGTTGGCACACAGTGCTGTACCTCACTGTTTAATAGGATTCTAACTTTTTAGTGCACGTTGTGCTCTGTATCAACCATACACGCTGTGTGGCTGAGAAGACGATGACCTTTAGGAGGTAGATAAGAAGAAAATACAACTGTAAGTGTGCTTTGCTGTCTTAAGCAGCACGTGTTTATTGAACCCATTCAGGCTGGTCATTAGTCAGTCCCCTCCTGTTTTCAGCGATTTGGGGTGATGGCTGTGAGCTGTGATGATTTCTTCCTTTTTCATCTGATCTGCAGGCAGAGAGGATCATGGAGGCCATTGAGCTCTACCGAGAGGAAACTGCAAAAATGAAAGAGCACAGAGCCATTTGTAAAGCTGCAGGGAAAGAGGTGAGACGTTACCAGGTTACACATGGGAGAATCTAAGCAGCAGAATTCCTAAGAAGGAGCCGTCCTCTCCAAATTTATTTTAACTTAGATAAGAATATGAGACAAAGGCATAGAATATTTTCCACTTTAAATACTAAAAGTAGAGGCACTATGGGAGGAAGGAGGAAGGAGTCTTTTTAAAAAGGGAAAGCATGGCTGCGTGGGAGAGAGAGCCTGCCAGTGCTGTGATTGTGGCCGAGCTTTCAGTCAGAGCTCCTATCTGGTCCAGCACTACTGGGTTCATGCTCATGATACTCCTTACCAGTGCCAGCTCTGCGGGAAGTGTTTCAGCCACCCCTCCCCCCTCACTCAGCACTACCAGCTCCATTCTCAAGAGATACCAGTTGAGGGCAGTTAGTGTTGAAATACTCACGGAACACACTTTTCTTAACTTACCTGGGTTTATCCATTAGAGAAACCTTTTAATGTCCTTAATCTGAGATGGCTCTCAGCCTCCCTCCATGAGACCCTGGTGATTAGAAAATTCAGCAGGGTGTGGTCAGAAATAGTGAATGGTTACAGGGTACAAGATGAAGTTTATGAATTTCACATTCATCGATACTGTCCTAGGAAGAACCTTTAAAAGTGTATTTTTGTAACATAGGAAAGAAGTTAATAGATTTTGCTCTTCTTCAGTAGTGTTACTGGAGTAGATAATCTTGATTTTGATGTCCTATTGAAAATGCTTTCAACGGCAATTGAGTACCAGACTGGCAGTCTATAACCCCAGTTCTTATAGAAGAGATAATGTGTAGTACTTTTATCACATAAGATTGATCGGCAATATAAAAAGATTTCCCAAGTCCTACCCTAAACTAATGAACTCACAAAGCTGTTAGTATTAGTGACATGTTTGAGGAGTTCGTCACATATGTAAAATGTTATCCTCTCTGATCCATCAAGGAATGCTTCCCCAGGGGTTGAGGGCTGATGTCTATTCCATTGTACACATAAAGCAAAGTTGAAGCTCTAGGATGTCAGTTGTTTTGACCAAGGTAGTTAGTGGTGGTGTAGGGACTGGACTCGGGTGTTGGGTCTCTGTGGTTCCCTCTGTGAGGAAGGTCTTGTGTTGTAGTGTGTGCAGCCATCTTCCTATGGAGTGTTCCGAGCTCCACTCCAGATTAAACGAGGTGGGAACATCTGTGGTTTCAGGGATTCAGAGAGCTTTCTTAGGTGGCTTCTTCCAGCTGTTTCTCTCATTCTCTAGAGACATGAACCCGGGCAGCCTTTCTTTGAGAACCACTTGTTTGCAGTTCTCCTGTAAAGTCGTTGCTCAAGTAGAGTTTATCTGGTAGTTTTTGAGGGTTCCTGGTATATTTTCTCCTCCATATACTCAAACCCTTTTTGAAGCATTATTTCTCTCTCCCACTCTAGCCCCCTCTGCACAGCAGGTTTCAACTAAAATCTTCATTCTATACTAGACACACTTGACACTTTAATGGTTGAGCCCCCCAGTTGCTAAAAATCTCTTGCACACCACGTCATTCAAGTTTCTAAAATCTTTGCATCTCTGGCTTGAATGGTGGTCTGCCCAGACACGTGCACTTGGAGTCCAGAATCCGATTCCTTGCCTGAGAAGTGCAAGCTCTCCCTGCTGTGATTGCCTGCTTTGTGGTTTCTGGTCAACACTGTTTTTGAGTTTGACACTATTATCCACCATCATGTCATCAAACCTATAGATATGAGCTCTCTGAATTCACACAGTCATCCTCCCTGTCTCCCATTTGAAGGTTTTTCTTGGGCCAGTAGTGTTTGCTCCTCTGCTAGTATTTCCATCACCCTAGCCTAGTCTGCAGACATCTGAATTAAGGTGGGTCTGGGCACGGCTTCTTGACATCCTTAGGCCGAAGTTTAAGGTTTGTTGATAAGCCTTGCTTAGGAAGTGTCCTAGTTTCTCATTGCTGTGACAAAACACTCTGACCACTACCAACCTGGGGAGGAAAGGGTTTATTCAGCTTACATCTCCCAGGTCGTAGTTCATCAGGGAGCCCAAGGTAGGAACTCAGGGCAAGAACCTGGAAGCAAGAACTGGAACACAGGCCATGGAGGAATGCTGCTTACTGGCTTGCTCCCTTGGCCCCTGCTCAGCCTGCTTTCTTATGCAACACAGGCCCACCTGCCCAGGGGTGGCACCACCCACAGTGGGCTGAGCCCTCCCACATCATTCATCAAGAAGATGCCCTTCAGACATGGCCACAGGCCAGTCCAATAGAGGAAGTTCCCCAATTGAGGCTCCCTCAACCCAGGTGTGTCAAGTTGACACTAAAGCTATCCAGCACAGGAAGTTTCCAGGAAATACCACTAGAGCATCTTCATTGCTTCCCATGTTTCCTTCCTGTGCTATGTGGTGACGGTGTGGGTGTTTTCATAATTGTTGTTCGCCGTGGGCACATGCGATATGTACAACCCATTGCTTCCATATTTTGCAACTTAAATAAGTTTCCTTCATGATGGATGCCCCAGTTATGTTGCCTTTCAGCTGACTCACTGTTATTTTGTGCTATTCTATTGGACACCAGAACCAGCCTATTTCGCACTTCTTCCATCCTCTCCCTAACTTGGCTGACTGGGCATGTGCTCTGCAGCAATAACCAGCATAGGCTGACTTCCAGCCAATTCTACACTTTGCAGAACTGCTGTCTTTACCCCATTGCCCCTCACTGTGGCCTCCTTCATGGTCAAGGCAGGCCTGACTATCTGTGTGAGGCCATTCCTCTATGATTTGGATGATTAATTTGATTCTGGTTTTCCATAATTACAAATCAACTGCAGTGAGCATTCAGCACTTAAATTTTTCCCAATTTAGTATTGTTTTCTTTTTCCAATCTGTTTTTCATTTTCTTTCATTCAATTAATGGATTTATTTATGTTTTGTTTTGAGACAGGATCTCACTTTGTAGCCCTGGCTACAGACCAGGCGGGCCTGGAACTCATTGAGATCTACCTGCCTCTGCTTCCTGAGTGCTAGGATTAAAGGAAGGTGGCATCACACCTGGCCTCAGATTGTTTTCATGAGATAACTTTTGGCAAAGAGGAATTGCTGGGTTTGGAAGATGTGTAATTGTTAGGAGATTCTGTATACATGGTTTTGAAAACATGGCTTATTTAGGGCTATTGCTGCTGACATGTAGGAACATGTGTTCACACCTAACATCTGGCATTAGGTTTTCACCTTTACAAATTGAATGAAAAATCTAATTGCAGCAATTGGATTTCGAAGGAGGTTAAACAAGTTCTGGAAAGCCGATAGAGAGTTCTGTTTTCTCTGTATTGTCTGTATTTCAGTCACTTTTCTTTCTGTCTTTAGTGTTTTCCTTTTAGCTTGGCCAGCCTCTTTGTAAACTAAAGATGCTAATTACTAGTCTTCGTGCCAAATGCATATGGCTTCCTCCGCTTTCTTGGGATTTTCTTTGAATTATTTTTAGACAGGGTTTTGATTTTATATGTAGTTTAATCCTTCAGTTTCATTTTCAGAGTCTATAAGCTCTACCCCTCTGTGAGCTGCAGGTTGCTTTATTGTAGAGTTTTTGTTTTTTAAAATATGATTTGACTGTTCTTGAATTGGGTGTCCTGTGTAAAATGAGTTTCCTCATTAAGTACTCCATCAACCAACAGTAAGTTATATTTTTTATATTTAATATAATGCAGTCACGTTATATTTTTTAACCCTATCTTGTCTTAGGTCTGCATTCTCTGTAACTTGTATGCTTTAGTCTTCAGTCATTGTGCTGTAAAAGTGTGCATGGAATTTTTGTGCTTTTTATTTGCTTGCTATGATTGTTATTTTTCCAGATTAATATTTGTTCATTTAAAACAGAAAAAGGGGGGGGGCTAGGAAATTATAGATCAAGGTGACTAGTATATTGAGTAGAAACTTGGTTTTGACATGGGTTTGCAAGGGAGGATACTAACTTTAATTTTTTTAGATAAAATGTATTGCCTGTTCTCATTTAGTAGTATAAAAACTATAAGGTATAGTAGTTCTTTTACATTCTCTCTGGTTTTAGGGTCTTTTTCCAAAGTTGTAAAATACTGTTAACACCCTATCTTCAGCAAGCATCGTCAAAATCTCATTTTTAATGACTTGCTTTGATAATTTGTTCATAGGTCCTTCTTCCCATCAACCCCATCCTGATGGCTTATGGCAATATTTCAGTGAGTAGAATGTCTCTCTTTCTGTGGTGAGTCAAAGCTTAATTTCACAGACGAGGGAAGTGAGGAGGCATTGCGATCTAAATGCTGGCATCTAGGACAGCTTGTTTCAAAGGACTATTTTAATGAAACTTTCAAAGGAAGCCTTTTGAGTGAGACCAGATCTGTTCTGCTTCTTAATGCTTGCTTATGTTCAGTGTCCAGAGCCTCTGAAGAGTCTGTTTACTTAAATGAACTTTGATATAAATCTTTGGAAGAAAAGTTGAAAAAAAAACCCATGAAGGAGGGAACAAGAGTTGGGAAAACATGTTTACCTAGCAGTTACTAATTACTATTTCCTGGCAAGTCTTTTTCATTACAATAATCTTAAAGTATCTTCATTATATAGATAAAGAAACTGGTCCAACCAAACAAGGGCACCGCTTAATTACAACCCCAAATCTGGCTATCTCCCAGCCCCAACGGGTACAGACATGTGAGGACACTATTTCTCAGATAGGATGGAACTAGAGAGCCTTCATGGAAACCAGTCATGAGCTTTACTGATGGTGCTTCCTTCCTTTTTAGCCTTCAGCTTATGTGTTAGAAATTTTTAAAGGGATCAAGTCAAGGTGAGTCCTAGTGCACAATATGCCTTACCAGGACAACATTTATTGAATGTTTATGAATGTGAAATAAATAAAAATTTGAATTTTTATTTATGTGTATGAGTGTTTTGCCTGCATGCCTGTGAGTGCACCCCTGTTGTGCAGTGCCTGCAGTGGCCAGAAAAGGGCATTGGATCTCCTGAAACTGGAGTTAAGGACAGTTGTGAGCCACCACTTGGGTGCTGGGAACTGAATATGGATCCTCTGCAAGAGCAACTAGTGCTCTTAACCACTGAGCTGTCTCTCCAACCCCACAAAGGGTGTTTTTAAAGACAAGTGAACGGTAGTTGTTTATGTTATGGGTAATAAAAAAATACATAATTCAGTCACAAGTACCAACTCTGAGCTTCGTTGTTGTGTGTTTTGTTCCGTTCATTTTGTGTGTGTATTGTGTATTTGTGTGTATTTGTGTGTATTGGAATCATACTGCGTAAGTACCATGCACTGACCACTTGTGCCACTGGAGCTCCATGGAATCATACTGTATAGGTTTGTTTCTTGTTCTTTTTCATGTAGGTCCTGAACATTTGCTCATATTATTAATATTCCTCAAAAACACACCATCAAACTATTAAGAATCTCCCAGTCTACAATCATTGTTTGCTGAATTTGTTGTTTTTGCTATGGTCAGTAATGCCTTAGCAATACCTTTACATACATTTCTGGTGACATTATTGAGTATTTTATAGTATCATATTTTTTGACTATTTTCTGTAAAGTTTTAGTTACTGTTCTTTCTTTGTGTTCTATAATAGTTTGTCTTACTGTTTTCTGGAATTTTTATTTTCTTTGTCATATGTTTAGAATAATATTTATTCAGTTTTTGTATTCTCATTTGACATACTGAAGTTTATTTTCCTAAGAAATTATATGTACATATAGCCCTTTCGAAAAGCACGCAGGACTATCCACGAATAACCATGAATCTTTTACTAGAGAAGTATAAAGGGAAGTTGGTAGAGGTACAGCACATTCAAGATGGGAGAGTTCTGTTCTAAAGGGTTAATTTTCTCAAACCAGTGAATAGAATTCTGATCCCAATTGACATCTTGAGAATTCTACTTAGAATTGATGACATGATGCTGGACCTAGGTTTAGAAGAAGCTGCTCCCCCAAGTTAGAAAGCGAAGAGAAAGCAAAATTAAAATGGTGTCGGATTTGTGTAAGAATTGCTCAGTCATCCAGGTGTCATAGACTCAAAAGTCCTGAAACACGCATCCTATATACATATATATATACACACACACATATATGTACAGTGTTCATACATACACATACACAGTATACACAGATACACCATATAGCAGTATGCATGCATGTATATGGTAAAAGGATTATCATGAAGGTGAATAAGATGGACTAGTCAACAAGAGGCTTTGTAGACATTGTACATCTGCAGATAAAAATACTTGGATTTTCTCCACCATGTCATGAACCAAAATGCAGTCTAAGCAACAAATTGAAGTGTTAATATGAAAACAAGATTGAAAAGAATCATTTAAAGTATAGGTGAATATTTAGCTCTTGTGAAGAGAATCTACTCGTGTATAAAGGCAGTAGGAAAACCCGTAAAGGAGTACACTGAATGCTTGACTGTGTGAAGGAATACTGCATTTTAATTTCGTTTTCCTTCTCAGTGAACTGGAAGAGTCTCTGCTTGTGCTGCCTTTCTCTTACATCCCGGACATCCTTACGCTCTTCAGTGAATTCATCCAGAGGGGCTCTGATGTTGAGCTGCTGTGTCGGTGCCTCTTTTTTCTCCTCAGGTAACATGTTTTTACAGAAACATCCTGTGCCTGTTCAGCCAAACCGCTTCAGCGAAATGCCCACTGAAGCTGCAGTCACTTTGGCATTAAAAAGTCCTGGTTTCAGTTACAGAGACTTTTACAAAATTTTGATCTTGTCTGACATGAAAGCACTCTTAGCCTTTAAAGTAAGGATCCTGGTTTTTAAAGTCATGAGTAATGTGTGAGACGTAGCTCCGGAGTGCTTCAGTAGTAGGCCTAGGACACAGTCTAAGATAATGGTAGTTGTCTACCAGGTCATTTGCTCCATTTTCTTCTGCTTTTAAACTAGTTACAATAAGCTAATCAGTTTTATTTTGTTCTCACAAAAATGCTTAAAAGAACAGAAGTTAATTTCTCTAGTCTTCCACAGGTAGAAATGGAAATGTGGGGGTCCCATGAAGAGAAGCAAAGAGACATGCAGAAGTATGTTCATTAGCTAGTACAGTCATCAAGAACCATTCTAGTTCAATCTTGTTTTTGTGGAATTGAGAAGAATACGTGGATAAAGACTTATGTTATTCTTACATTCCCAGACTCTGTCAAAAGCAAAGAACAGGCACAGGGCAAATTGAATATTCCTTAATGCTGTCATTTAAGCAAAAAACTGATCAGCCGGTAGTAAAGAGTTAAACAGGCACATTTAGTGAAATGACTGAGTAAATATTTGGTGTGTTGGCCTGATTTCAGGCCAGTTTGGTTTTGAGACAGGGTCTTGCTGTGTAGCTCTGCGTGTCGTGCATCTCGGTATATAGACCAGACTGGTCTCAGTCTTGCCTGCCTCTACCTTTTGAAGGCTAGGATTACAGGTGTATGCCCCTGTAGCTGGCCTTGTTTGTTTTGTTGGGACAGGATTTTACTCCAGTCCAATATGTAACCCAGATTGGCCTCATACTAACAGCAATCCTGCTTCAGCCTCTCAAGGGCTTGGATTATAGGCATGGGCCACCATGCCTGCCTGATTTCATGGTCTTTAGCCCTCTATTCCTTAGACTCTGTCTTAATAGTAGTAAGAAAAGAACAGTGGCAGGCACAATAATCTATCAGTGGCACATGTACTGTTAAAGCAAGGTCAGCTATTCTGTGAGAAACTGAATATGTCTCATATCTGAGAGGGTTATAGGTAGTCACTACCTGAGAGATAACCTGAGAGATGGATGGAACAGTCATCAAGGATATATATCTGAGTGTTCTGGTTTCAGAATTTTACTCTGATGAGTGACTTTCTCCTACCGTGTGTGTGTGTGTGTGTGTGTGTGTGTGTGTGTGTGTGTGTGTGTGTGTGTGTAGGGCAGGGGGGATATGTGTGTGTAGGTACATGTGTATGAGCCTGTGTTTGGAGGCCACAGGTCAACCTTGGGTATTTTTCAGGAGCTGTCCACCCTTTTTTAAAACAGGGTCTCTCACTGGCCTGGAACTCACCAATTAGGGTGAGGGATCCACTCATCTTTACCTCCCAAGTACTGGGATACAAGTATGCCACCACACCCAGCCTTTTCATGGGTGCTGGGGATCAGGCTCAGGTCTTCATACTTGTACAAGCAGGCACCTTACCAACTGAGCTATCTCCCTAGTCCCTGTGTTAGCATTTTTAAATAGGTTCCATTCTATCTCTTGAGCTTTTCATAAAATGCCATCATCAATCTCTGTGGTCTTGTGGTGGATTGCTGAGGAAAGATGAAGCTTTGCAAATGAAGTGAGTGTGTCGTCATGTTCAGAATAGTATTTTTTAAACTCAAATTGAATGGGAGAGAAATTTAGGGGGTTTTGTTCTTGTTTTTGTTGGTTTGTTTACTTTGTCAGAAGGCTTTGTGTGCCACTGTTATAATCATAGATTGGATTCATATTTTGTGTTGTTGATGCTATGACACTGTCTATTTACTATTCTAGGAGGGTCATATAGAGCCAGAGCCTCTCTTTCCAGCATGATTGTTTTATTCTTTTTATTAGGATTCACTTTGGCCAGATCACCAGCAACCAGATGCTTGTGCCAGTAATAGAAAAATTAAAGGAAACAACTATTTCAAAAGTCAGACAAGTCCAAGTAAGTGCCTTTCTGTGGACAGCTAATAGAGAAGCAGAATTCCAATATGTATGTGGCCAGTGGTAGTACATGTTCGGCCTTGTCTTTTTTTGTTTGTTTGGTTGGTTTTTTTGGTCTTTTTGAGACAGGGTCTCCTTGTAGCGCCAGCTGTCCTGAAACTCACTATGTAGACCAGGCTGGCCTTGAACTCCCAGAGATCCTCCTGCCTCTGCCTCCCGAGTGCTGGGATTAAAGGTGTGTGCCACCACGCCCAGCAGAATGTTTTTTTAAAAAAAACCAACAAAAGTCCTTATGGAGGGAAGGGTGGATGACAGCCCCACAGAGAGGTTGCTGCATCGAGCTCCCGGGGGCCGGAGTTTGATTCATCCTTTTTGTATTCCTTTCTAGGATGTGATTGGCTTCAACATGGCAGGTCTCAATTATCTCAAGAGGGAATGCGAAGCAAAAAGTGAAGTTATGTTCTTTGCTGATGCTACCAGCCAGTTGGAAGAGAAGAGGAGGAAGCGGAAAAACAGGAAGAAGATGATTCTGACATTGACGTAGAACCCAACTTTCCCTCCTTCTTAAGTGAACTTGTAAACTAAGGTGCAGTGGAGTTGGCATCAGCTTAAAAATGAGAAAGGAAGTCATGTAGAAGAGCCTGGAAGAGCTCTGAGCTTTGGCTGAAGATATCCAACATGGTCTGTGATCTGGTTCGATCTCCTGGACTTGACCGCATGATTAGTTTAAGAACCTTTGTACACTCTTTAGGGTTGGGCCCTGTGGTAGTTGTTCCCTTTACATTCTATCAAGGAGCAAAGAAAAAAAAATTTTATTAGGTATTTGGTTCATTAGAGTTGAAATCACCATTTGAAGGCTTTTTATATTTATGACAGGTGGTAGGTATTTTTGTGTGTGTGTGTGTTAGATTTTACCTTTTTCTTTTTTAAAGATAATCATGTGTGTAACTGAGTGTCCTATGCCTGTAAATGAAGTATCATGGACTTTTGGAGCTAAAAAGGATTATGAAATATCTAGAGCAGTCTCTTTAACCCTCCTGCAGGTTGTTAGATCTGTATATAAGATCTTAATTGCTGTTTGTACTTTTTGGAATAACATGGCGCTTTCTTATTAAAGAACACTTAAGATGTCTTACTGCTTGAATAATACATTTTGGGGTGTGTGTGTGTGTATGTATGTGCTGTAAATATACTTATGTTTACATGGTAAGGAGTTTGTGTGTGTGTGTGTGTATGTATGTGTGTGGTGTAAATATACTTATGTCTCCAGAGTAGGGATTTGGGTGAGTGTATTTGTATAGTATAAATTTATAGACAAATATGTCTACATGGTAGGATTTGGGGAGGTAGGAATGTCCTAGAAAAAGAATTAACTCACATACCTCTGGACCTGGGCTTTTCTTTGTGGGAAATTCTGAATTATTAATTTAGATTCCTTATTACAGTCTGTTTTACTTTCCTATATCCTTTTTTTGAAACAGGGTCTCCCTATAGCCCCAGCTGGCCTGAACTCACTCTTGTAGACCAGGCTGGCCTTGAACTTGGAGATCCACCTGCTTCTGCTGGGACCAAAGGCATACGCCACCACACCCCTTATTAACTTTTCTATATCTTATTTTCATATTTTACCTATGAATTTGCCCATTTTGTCCAAGTTACTGGTTTGTAGTGCTAACATTTTCTCAGGCTCAGGACTGTAGGTTTTATGGCTTGGAGATTGTGTCCCAAACCACAGATCAGTTAATCAAGTACAACGCAATCACTAAGGTGAGGTAAGGAATAGAGTAGCATTCTATAAACGGGAAGAAGGCTGCCCAAGAGGGTGGGGCTGCTGCTTCAGGCTGAGAGGGTGAGGCTGCTGGATGCTCCCAGGGCCCTAAGCCTGCAGTTGGTGTCTACAAAGATGAAGTTATTGAGGATCAAGGCAGCCCCTAAATCCAATGAGTTAATCCTTAAAAGGAGTGAGCCAGAGAAACACAAGGAAACGTACTATGTAAAAGCAAGGCAAAGGACAGAGGGATGCAGCTGAGCCATGCCAAGAGTGGCTTCTAGACACCAGAAGTTAGGAGGGGAGAAGCACAGTGTCCCTCAAAGCTTCCAGGAGGAATCAATCCTGCCGCTGGCTCCTGGGTTTTGGACCTCTGACCTCCAAGCTCTGACAGAACAGATGTCTGCAACCAGCTGCTTGTGGTTCTTCATTCTGGAGCCCTGGTACCCTAGGAAATGCACAGATGATGCCAATGCCTTTTTCTCAGCTTCTCATGGGCATAGGGTGGAGTTTTCGGAGGCTTTATGATTTGTGACTTGGGAACAGACTGAAGACAGCTCTGCTCTGTTAAACCAGATGCTGAAGAGGTGATAAAAATGAAGTAATGCACTCCTAAATTCTTGATTTAGGAAACAGTGATATATTTTTTTCATTAAATATTTCATTTATTGGTTTCACTATCTGTAGAATTTTAAATTTCCCAGTTTTTTGTTTTTGTTTTTGTTTTTTTTTTTTTTTTAAAAAAAAAAAAAAACAGGGTCTTACTATGCAGCTCCAGATGTATAGACCATTCCAGGCTGGTCTCAATCTCACAGAGACCTTCTTGTCTCCCAAGTGCTGGGCTTTAGGGTGTGCTCCACCACACTTGGCCCAGTTTTAATTCTTACTTGGTAAATATTGATAAATTTCACCTATGTAAATAGCTCTTTGAGACCCACAATAGTTTATACAGTTATAAAAGGAGTCCCGAGTTCAAAACTTTGAAAACCCTTAATGTAATGGTAAATTTTCAAGTCCGAAAGAGGCTTTGGTGTGTATAATGTACTGTTAATTTTTGGAGAGTAGAGTCAGCTTTCGTCCGCACCATGAAGATAAGGCCTAAAAGAATGAACTTGAGAATCACATGAAGTCAGTTACATTTAAAATTATGTGGCACCTGTTTCCTATGTAAAGTAGGAAATAGCAAACCGGTCTTACAGGTAACATGAAGATTAAATGTGATATATATAAAGGGATAACTTACTAGAAGTAAACATTTTCATTCAATCTACATTGTTGATGAGTTTCTGGCTATAAGAAGTAGTGTTGGGGGGGGCACGCAAACCCTGCGGTCTGAGGCCTCGGCATTTGTTACTTACAGACCCTCATGTTGAGAAGCTGTCCGAGACACGAAGACTCCAAGTGCACAGGAAGAGACTGTGGAAGTCCTGTAGACCATGGGGTTTTCTTTTCCCTGGGGAAAATCTTTTGGCCGCTTCTCATAGTAACTGCTTGTTAAAACTGGTAGAATACTCATTAAGGACTAATCTTCATGGCTGAATCATGCATGCAGACCCATGTAAAACTTTAAAATCACAGACTCCAGCAGAGTCGGCTCAAGGTAGGTACTTGTATGATGCAGATTTAGCCTGCATAGGCTCTGGGGGACTAGAGAGTGGGACCTTGTGTCTAGGCAGGTCTTCCTTCTGTTATCCACAGTACGCTTCTCTCCTGATGGCCTGGCCTTTCTCCAAGAAGCCATTAACCATCCCCGGGCCCCAGGCCACATCAACATGGTGATATTATGCTATTTTGGTAGGGACAGAACTAGACTGGGAAATTGGCTGTGAAGCATCACTGCTGACATTCAGAGATAAAAGATTTAGTAGAACCATTTTTCTTGTCTGAGTCTAACTCTGAGCAAGGAAATAGTTCATTAGCACTGATGCACAATGATGGCATTGCTGTGATCAGCTGCAGGTACTGTGGGTCAGGATGTAAGCTATGAAGATTAAGGGCAGGATTAATTCCAGAGGGAAAAGAACTGGTTGGTTACTTTCCTTTTATCTCAACAGGAGAACATTTCATGATCATTACTACAAAAGCAAAACTGAGTGTGTTGATCCTCCCTGTAATCCCGGTACTCTCAGGAGGCTGAGGCAGGAGGATTCCTAGATTGAGGCCAATTTAGACTATCTAGTCAGACTGTTTCCAAAAAAAGAAACTAAAGGAAAGGCTATCTGATTTTAAATTGTAATCCACCTTAACACTCTCTGACACCCGCTGTATGTTTCCCATTGTTATTTACCACCTTACCACTGCCATGGCCCATATTTTACTCTGTTATTTATCTTGCCTCTGGGCTGTAAGCTACATAATGACATGGATTTCTGTCTCTTATTTACTGTGGTATCACTGGTACATGGAACAGTGCCTGTCATGTTAGAGACAATACCTTTGAAAGAATAAATCTTAAAAAATGTCTTTTGGCCAGGCATGGTGGCACATGTCTTTAATCCCAGCAGTTGGGACGCAGTGGCAGGTGGATCTTTGTTTGAGTCCAGCCTGGTCTATATAATGAATTCCAGGCCAATCAGGGGTAGAAATAGACCCTGTATTAAAAAAATAATAATTTGTGGCCGGAGAGATGGCTCAGTGGTTAAGAATACTGGCTGTTCTTGCAGAAGACTCAGGTTCAAATCCCAGCACACATGGCAGCTAACAACTATCTGTAACTCCAGTCCCAGGGGATCCGACAGCCTCTCCTGACCTCCACGGGCATTGCACGACATGGTGCACTTACCTACATGCAGGCAATACACATATACACATAAAAATAAAATTTTTAAAAATGTTAAAGAATAAATGAGCAGATGAACTCAATTGCCTGATGCAAGTTCCCCCAGCTCACTCAATCTCAGTGTCTTCATCCTTTTCCTTTGCCAAGGCTATCCCTTCAGTTGGTTATTCTGTTCTCTGCTGGATACTTCCAGTTCTAATTTAAATGCCTGTGTTTTTCTCATTCTCTAAGCAGGAGGCAGATTTGTACCTACACTAAATTGAAAACCTGTTCTTTTTTATTGTTAAGGTACCATATTCTCTGCTTCCTTTGTGAAATTTTCTTGCGACAATGCGTACCTGGTATCTCTGCTTTCTTTTTTTCTATTTAGATTCTGTACCAACCAAGTCTAGTGCAATGGTCTGAATTTACTATAACACCTTTTAATGATCTCTCAATTGTGCCAGCCTTTCTTCTAAAATTCTTTCTATGGCTTTTGAGATATTTCATGGGTTTTGCCCCCTAATTGCTTGCTTTGTCTCCATTGGCCCTTCCTCTTCATGCTGCCCAAACAGATCCCAAGTTTCTCTCCATCATACCCTCAACTACCAGCTCCATGTAGAGACACAAAATGTTTCTGTCTTTAGCTCTGCCTTCTCAACTAAGATCCTGCCCTGTACATCAGTGATTAAGCATCTGAATCTAGAGCCTTGGACATAAAGTCACATCCTTACATCCTTTTGTAAACCAATCCCACTTTAGCTGTTGCAGTTTCATCCCTACCCCGCATCGTTCATCCATGTCCCTCGTGTCTGCTGTTCTACCCCACATGTGCATCGCTCTTGTCCTTCCACTTGGCCTAGGAAAGAATTAATGGAGATACAAGATCCATTCTGCTATTGCTTTTCTAATTCATAAGTAATTTTTCTACTTTATATATGATTGTAAAAATTGGACTTTAAAGGATATTTGCTTCCACAGGTAAGAATAGAACATCGTGCTCAGTCATGATCTCAATATTGTGAGAGATGTGTGCTGATCCCTTGGTACCATCTTCTCCAATAGTCATGGCAAATAACTCCACCTTCAGCTCTGCATGCAAGCCAGCTGCCACCTGGAACTCACCAAATACTGGTTTTAAGACTAATTTGGCAACTTACCAAATCTTTAATCTTTAGTTTTCACATTCTTAAATTTGGCACTAATCAATGTAAGCATATATCAGAATTATTTCATAGAACCTTGTAGAATTCTATGGGACAAATGGGACCCAAAGATAAACTTTTGAATGATGTTAGGATTTGTGTGTGAAATAGCCCCCAAAGGCCTGTACTAAAAGTTTGGTTGCCAGCCTGTGCCATATTGGGATGTGGTGCAACCTTTTTGAAGTGGGCTTAGTGGAAGGAGATGGGGTCATTGGAGGTGTGCCTTTGAAGGGGATATTGGGACCTTAGCCCATTCTCTCTGCTTCCTGGCTGCCATGAAGAGAACAGCTTTGCTCTACCATGTGCTCCCTGCCTTGATGTTCCACAGGCCCAAACCACAGGGCTAAGTGACGCTCTGAAACTATGAGCCAAAACCTCTCTTTTAAGTTGCCCAACGAAAA